TCTTTTCTTTTCTTTTACTTTTTCTTTTTTTTTTTTTGGTGAGGGCAATTAGGGTTAAGTGACTTGCCCAGAGTCACACAGCTAGTGAGTGTTATGTGTCTGAGGCCAGACTTGAACTCAGGTCCTCCTGGCTCCAGGGCCAGTGCTCTATCTACTGTGCCACCTAGGTGCCCCAAAGCCTTTCTTTTTACCACAATACTGAGTGCATCAGAGAAATTAAGTGATTTGCCCAAGGCCACACAGCCAGGCAGTGTTCTGACCAGTACTCAACTGAATTTCCTTACTGAGGATAGAAGGTGCTTTCAAGGTCATCTAGTTTTTATGTTTTACAGTTGAGGAAACTGAGGCAAACTCAGATTAAAGTGACTTGCCTAAAGGCACACAGATATTAAGTGTCAGGGGTCAGATTTCTTACCCTATGCCACCTAGCTGATCGTGAGTTGGCCAAGGTAACAGAAGCAATAAATGGAGTTGGGATTTGAACCCATTCAAGCAACTCTGACATCTCATTTCTGACCCAAGTGCACTACTTTGGGAGTTCTCTGACCTCACTATGCCCCCTCACCTTGGCTACCTTCACTCCCCCACCTCCTTACCTCCTCACCTCCTCAACCACCCTTTTCAGCTTGCTTTTGGGTATTGTCTTCCCCCATTAGATTGTAAACTCCTTGAGGGCAGGGACTGTTCTAAGTGTGTGTGTTTGTGTGTGTGTGTGTGTGTGTGTGTGTGTGTGTCTGTGTCTGTGTGTGTCCTCAGAGCTTAGGTACTTAACAGGTACTTAAGAAATGTTTATTGACATATTGACAATATCATTAAACTTTCCACTCCATCTGGGCTGAATTTTTTACCCATTTTACAGATGTGTTGGGAGGTTGAAAGTGTTTTGAATTTAGCTCCAAAACACCTTCATTCAGATTCAAGCTTTGCCACTTAACAGCTCTGTGACTTTGAGTGAATCACTTTGGCTATCTGGGGGTGGTTCTAACTGTAAAACTGGCGTTGAATTAGATGATCTTGAAGGTTCCTTACCTTCCTCTTGATTTTCCTCTTGAAAATTATGTGGTTGGACCAGATAATCTCAATAATTGTGAAGTCCTAGTCTAAGGTTAGACTGAGGCGTGGGTACTAGAATCCAGGTTTTCTGATTCAGAGCTGGGTGTTCTCTCAGATTTGCCACCCACCCTCTTAATCCTATGACATGCTGATTGTAATCCCATTACTTTGGTAAGCTTTTTTGGCTTCTCCTCCCCCATCCCTCCCCATGATGACACGACCACCCATTTGTTCGGCTGGCCAGAGGCAAGCTTCTGTCCTCTCTCGGGGGCTAGGACTGTGACACTCCCTCTCTAGTGGATGGTCTGATAAAATCCCTGTGCTGCCTGCCATCAGCGAGTCAATCAAGCAGGAAGAGAGAGCTCATGAGACAGAAAAGGGAAAGTTTCTGTTTACCCGCAAATGCCACTGTACTGAGGGGAAAGGAAATGCTGAAAGAGAAGGTAGTGAATCATCGAATCTGGGCGTTGCAAGGGCCCTCATAGAGAAATGTTCTCATCTGGGACTTCAACCAGGTGTCTTCTCTATTCTATCCCTAGTATTTCCCCCATATCTATTATATCCCCAACAAATCATCCATCTTCCAGCTGCTGCGTGAGAACCCTCCAGTGACGGGGAGCTCACTACGCACCCAGCTTGCCCTTTTCTAATATGGGATTTGTAGCTAGGATTTGTCCAGAATCCCAGAATTTCAGATTTGGAAGCAAATTCAGTAGATATCATCTAATTCAATGCTTTTTCATTTCTAAAAAAAAAAAAAAATCTCCTTTACAATATATTCAACAACTGATCATTTCGTCTTTGCTTAAGACTAATAATGAAGGAGAACTCGCTGTCTCCTGAGGCAACTCATTCCGTTTTGGAATAGGCTTTCCACTTTAGGAAGAGTAAACTAAGCCAGATTCTCCTGTGAACATTTGTAGTTGAAATGAAAAGCCAGTAACTCTCACACCTTATTGAAGATTACAATCCAGTGTTCCACAGTCAAGACCCTCTATCTCTCTGCCCCGGGCATTTTCTCTGACTGTCCCTCCATTTCTGGAACATATTCCCTCCTCAGCCAACTACTGACTTCCCTGGCTTCCTTCAAATTCCAGTTAAAATTCTATGTTCTACAAGAAGTCTTTCCCATCCTCTCTTAATTCTAGTGCCTTCTCTTTTAATTTTTTCCTATTTATAGGTTGCTTGTGCGTATTTGTTTGCTTGTGAGCTCCTTGAGGGCAGGGACTTGTCTTTTACCTCTTCGCATCCCCATGGCTTAGCATAGTTGCCTGACCCCTAGTAATGCTATTATATCACCATCTTACAGATAAGGAAACTGAGGCAGACAGAGGTTAAGTGACTTTCCCAGGGTTACATAGCTAGTAAGTCTGAAGCCAGATTTGAACTAGGTCGTCCTGATTCCCGATCCAATGTTCTATCCACTGTACCACCCACCACCAATTTTAGTTGGTTTTAGATACCAACTCAAGTAGAGCTAGAACTTCATCAATGTGAATTATGCCTGCCCACCCTGTGCAACCCTTGTGCACATCTTCCTGTGTATTCAGGATCATCCAACATGCTAGAGGCATGAAATCCCAGAATTTTGACATCTCAAGGTTGGTTCTTAACATGTGACCAGCACATCTTCTTCTTCGATCATACATTTCCCTGATGACGTATTATTTCTGTTTTCATTGGTCTTTTCCCGTTTGTAACAATGTGTTGCAGCCCACTGGCACGCACCAACTGAAAATCCTCTGTTCTTAGGATTTTTAGAATCTAGAATTGGAAAGGAGCTTAGCCGTCATCGAAGATAATTCCCCTTCATTTTACAGGAAGAGAAAATTGAGCTTAAATGTCTTTCTTAGGCCACACAGCTAATAAGTGTTAGAGGTCGGATTCCAACCCGCGTCTTTTTGACTCTCCAGGTTCTGTCCTCTACGCCTCACTAGCTCAGCTGGCCCACCCTCATAGAACATAGCTTCCTCTCACTCTCAATGTAAGTGGATTGTAATTTCATTATGAATCTGTCTCTAGGAATGCTGTCACTGTGGAGGTAGCAATCTCAAAGAAGGAGTGGCTCAGTGGATAGAGCACCTGCCTAGAATCAGGAAGGCTCATCTTCTTGAGTTCAAATCTAGCCTCAAACACTTAATAGCTATGTGACCCTGGGCAAGTTGCTTCACCTTGTTTGCCTCAGTTTCCTCATCTATAAAATGAGCCAGAGAAGGACATGGCAAACCAGTCCAGCATCTTTGTCAAGAAAACCCCAAATGGGGTCACAAAGAATCAGTCATAACTGAAAAATGACTGAACAAAGGGGTCGTTGAGGGATGGGAGTGATTGAAGCCAACATGGGGTTCCAGATTCCTTAGAGAAAGAGAGAGGCTTTCCCCAAGCTTGGAATGAAGACCTTCCTCCCCTCTGTCTCTTAGAGTCCCTTGTTTTATTCAAAGCACAGCTCACTGACCCCTTTGACATGAGGCCTTTCCTAACTACTCTTCATTAACATACCTACCTGGTGCGTATTTACTGCTATATATCCATGTTGGTTGTTTTTTTTTTTTCCCCATTTCTTTTTATTACTGAAATTTAAATACACAATGAGAAAAGAAAAAGAAACATAAACTTAAATATTGAAACATACAAAATAGGAAAAAAAGCATGTCATGTGCACAGCAGAATGTAAAAGAATTCAAAATATATAGCAACAAATTTCCATTTCAAGAAAGTCTGTGTAATAAATACCATGCATTGTATTGTTTTACACTAATTGAATAGAAGCTCCTTGAGGACAGGCATAGTCTACGTCATTTTGGTCCTTGTATCCCCAGCACTGAGCACAGTGCCTGGCACATAGCACTAAATAGATGCTTGTTGAATGAAGGAATGAGCTCATAGCTTAGTGGAAATGCAGAGGGAAGTCAATTCAGCTGAGGAGAGTGGCTGGTTATTACCATGACTCAGAGGCGGAATGGGGACATTGCACAATGGGTGGGAACAATTTTTCCTTCCTGACTCCAAATAGCACCCGGTGTAAATGTCTCTTGCTCATTAATTTTCTCTTTTGCCATGAAGAGCTTTTCCCAAAGCTGAGACTAGGGATAGACAAGGTAATCAGCTTCTGAGGTGCAACTACATTCACGTGTGTATGTAATATGAGTTGGACACAACTGAACAACAATAATTTAAAAGCCAGAAGGGACCTTAAGGGTCATCTTATCAAAACTCCTTCATTTGAAACTCACAATCCATCGTTTTGTCCTACTGGGGAGGGAGGGCCCATGGCTGGAACCATAATCAAATCAATACACCCATATCCCTGACCCCAAGAAAGGGTGTGTCAGTCTACACCCTTCTGGACCCACCCACCATCAAACCCACCAGGTCATCATTCCCTTAGATGGGTGGTCTCCCTCCCTTGGAATGTCAGCTTCTTGAGGGTGGGGAACCACTTTTGTTTCTATATGAAGACCAGAAAGGAGGGGAGAGTAATTTGAGGGGAGTCAAATAGAAAAAGACTGGAAAGGTAGAGCTGGCTTTAAAAGCCAGAGATATTCCATATTTGGTCCTGAAGGTAATGAGAAGCCAATAGTTTAGTGACTAGGGGAGTGACACAATCAGATGCGCTCTTTAGAAAGATCCTTTGCATAGCTGAATCACCGAAGGAGTGAGTGAGGGGAGCAGAGAAGCTCAGTCCCTGCACCATGGTGGTGGCACTATCAGAGGAGAGAAGTGGGCGTCCATAAGGGAGATGTAACAAAGGCAGAATCAACAGAATGTGTCAGCTGATTGGATTTGGGAAGTGAGAGAGTAGAGTCCAGGACGGAGTTAAGTTGTCTTGTCCGGGGTCACAAAAGTGGTGATGGTCCAAGGTCCCTAAATTCCAGAGCTCAGAATCCCCGGGAATCCCCACCGTCCCCACCCCAAGACCTGGGATACAAGGAATCCAGAACAGCCAGTGTAATTAGTCATGTTATGAGCTTTTATTTCAAAAGCACATTTATACAGCCATTGTTTTGCGGATACAAACTTTTGTGTTTTTGTATTCTACAAAAGTCTCTGAATAGTCTTTTTCTTTACAAATGTCAACATTACAAAAATACGGACAATTTCACCTTTTTTCTTTTATACAACCATCTCTAGCTGATGCTATCTTTTCTTCATCTCCTGACGACTCCTACAGAGCTACAAACGTTTTTAGTTGACTAGATGAAAAAAACAAAAAGTAACTCAATGCTTTTTCAAGCAGCACGATGTAAATAACACAGGTCAAGACTCCGTTGATAATCATAGTGGATATATCTAAAATTGTTTCAGAAATAATATTTTACATAGTTAATTTTTAATGTTTTATACATTATTTATAATATATTTATATATAAAAATCATAGCTTGCTATAATTGAAATGGTAGGACGGATTCTTGAAGATGAATGTGCTCATGGCTAATCTGTTTGGTTTTATATGACCCCTTAGATGCTAAGCCCTTTGCAAGGTCTTCACCCAAGATCTAGAAATGTGGTGGTGGTGGTGGTTGTTTTTAAATCCCTTTTTTCCTTTCCTGGGAAAGCCAAGTCATTGGATTGCTACCTACTGCCTCTAAGAAAACCTAACCTGTCGGGCCTTCCGGATAGAGGATGAGGAAATGAAACCGCCGAGGGATTCAAGTGGGCATGCGTTCTGCCCTGCAGAGTGTGCCGAAGCCCGCTGAATCCTCAGCTCCTGGGACTCCATCCCAAATCCATAGTGCTTTACACATCTCAAGAAGAATGCCTAAGAGGGCCCCCAGGGCTCATGAGCCCCAAAAGGAGGCGCCCTTAGAGGTGTGGGACACAACCTGTTGCCCTGGGCCAGGTGTTTTTTATGTCCCATCTCCCCCTACCCCCCCATCCCGTTGTACTTTCCTTCAGGGCAGAATCCAGCCCTAACCCTGGACTTGTCTAAGATTATGTGGCTCGTGGGAAAATGACAAAATGTATTCATTTTAATCCTTTTTTTTGGGGGGGGGAGGAAAAGGGAGGGGGGAAACAAACGCCTCACTTCATCTAAAATGCACCTGACTTAGCCAAATGCAAGTGCAGATCAATCTCTGTGGTCATCCCCTGACCACTCTGAGACTGATGCATTCAAAGATAAGGGGTGATGGCTGGAAAAGGGCATCACCCCCCTCCGCTTTTTCTCACCCTTGTGCTGTCTGTAAAAGTCAGTTGTCCACAAAGAGTATCCTAGTGGCAAAAAGCGAGCTAACTTCAGTCACTGGCTGGAACGAGGGTAAAGTGGTAAGTAAGGTACTAGTCCCGACCAGACAGCTCCTTCAGGGCAGCCAGAGCAACTACCCTTCTGCCTGGGGGGTCTCCCGGCAGCAGGGAGCCAAGCGTCCCAACCAGGAGGCCAGAGAAAGCAAGGAGAGGCAACTCCGGAGATCGCCACCCACAAAGCTCAGTTCAGTACTGTCTTTGCCTTCTGGAGGGCTACAATCGGAAGTGGCTTGTACAATGGGCGCTGGACCGCTCTACAAACCCGGCTCAGTGTTCACCTGTGAACAAGCCAGCGTTCACTACAACATGAACTCCTGGGACCAACTGTGAGCCTAGAACTCAGTCATGTGTCCGTTTTCACTGGCGTCTCCATCTGGTTGAACCACAACCAATTTCACAAGGCCACAGAGTAAGATTTTTTTTTTTCTTTTAAAAAGATCGGGCGGGCAAAAAGTAGTTTTCCCCTACATTCTACTGTCTGATGAGATTTGAGAGCAGCAGCAGATGGGTGCTGTCAGCAGTCAGTTCGCAAAACTCTCCGGGGGGAGCCAAGAGGCCTACACCATATTGTGGTGATTGTTTCTGTCTATGATGTCCACAGGGGAGAGGATGTCCTTTCGGATGGGAGGGGGAGGCAGGGAAATAGTTGTCTTGGTTTTGAAGAGGTCGGACACGAAGAAGACCTAGAAACAAACACAGAGAAGAAAAGAAACATCAGGATGGAACCCAGCTCGGCAAATGGAATCAAAGAAAACCCTTTCAACTTGTATTCTGCCTAGGAATCAATCCCCTAGGCAACATTGTATGTGTATTGTTAATGCTCCATAGTACCCAATACTCAGTAGGCACTTAATAAAATGCATGTTGATTCTGCTTCTTGAATGCTTTTAGTGATGGGGAACTCAGTACCTTACGGGAAGTCCATTCCACTTTGGGATGGCTGTTATCTTTCAGAAGCTTCTCCTTCTGCTGGGCAGAAATGAACCTATTAGCCCCTCAAATGATGCTAATTCTGTCCTTTCTGGTAAGGTAGAACAAAACTCATCATTTCTCTTCCACACCCATGTTTTCCAAAAAGCCACCTGTCCCCTTGGGGCCTGTCTGAAAGGAATAAGCAGTGGCCAGCCTGGCTGAGGTCTTCATTACCTCTCACCCGACTACTGTCATAGTTCCTACCCGGTCTCTTTCTGTCATCAGTCCATTATCCACAGGCTAGCAGGTTGGTAGAGTAATTTTCTAGTAAGTGTGGCCAAAACTGCACTCCTATCTCGGCTTCCTAATTCTCAAGGCCCTCCTCCAGGACCACGCCGACCCCCATAAAAACCAAGGGAACCAGTCTGATCCTAGGATTCACCCAGCTCCAAAAGCATCAAAAGGCTTCCCTTACCCAAAGAGATCATCGTCAGGGTCACAGGACTTTACCATTTCCTAAGGGTTCTGGGGACCATTAACCTTGCTTTAAACCTCACGGCAGCCTTGCTCTCTTATCTCTACCTTACAGCTGAGGCCCAGAAGGGAAGGGACTTGCCCAGAATCATACAATTGCTCCACGGTGTCATCAATGGATAAGATCTTTACGACATGCTCAGGATGTGGGATTATAAGATCACGGACCTCGAGGGAGAAGTGACTGATGCTAGCGGCCGATGCAGTCTGAGCCTCCATTTCCCAGATGATGACACTGAGGCACAGGGAGATGAAGGGATTTGGGAGAGATCCCACAGGTAGGAGCCAGAGAAGTACCCAAGGTGGTATTCAAACCCAAGACCCAAGTCTTTTGTGCTCTTTTACCGATGAAGGCATCAAGGGTCCAGAGCTGTGATGTGACGCTACATTGCCTTGTTCAAGGTAACAACGCAAGGAAAGAGCATAGCCAGAACCTGAACCCGATTCTCCTGACTCTTAAGAGGCAGCAAAGCATAGTGGATAGAGTCGTGGTCTTAAGAGTCAGAAAAACCTGGGGTTCAAATCCCTTCATTTACCAGCCATGTGACCATGGACAAGTCATTTAATTTCTTTCCACCTCAACTTCCTCATAGAAAAAGTCACTTACTAAACAATATGACCATGGGAAAGTCACTTAACCACTCTTGGGGTCAATTTCTTCATCTTTTAGGGCTACTATTAGTATCAAATAAAATAATGGATATAAAGTGCTTCGCAAACCCTTAAGGGCTATGGATGTGCTGGTAAATGTTTAACCAGCTCCCCCACTGCCCCTCCCCAAAATGTGTGCATACACTTTTAAGTTTAATTTTGTTACTTATATTTTCTCCATCACTTTAAGTCTAGGCAACCAGTGAAACAATAAATGAAACCCTGATTTGTAGCATCTGCCAATTTCAGAGGCGTAACAAAAATAAGAACATAACATATAATAAATATAATAAATGCTCATGCTGAAAATTGAACAATCGGCTCTTGCTCACTGACTCCAAAATATCCCCGGCTATGATTATTAGTCCAATGCCCTTTCTACCACCCCATGATTCCCTCAAGAAAACCACATTTTAGATTATTATTTGGAAGAAATCAACTTTGATATCCAGTCTCTGGGGAAGTAGTGACCCTTACTTAGCAAGGCTAAAATGACAAATGCACAGCTTGACTCTTGTCTGGTTATTGTGATAGGCTTCTAACCAGTCTCCCTGAATTCAGACTATAATACGTCCATCCTGCACACTTGTCATTCTCTCTCTCTCACACACACACACACACACACACACACACACACACACAGAGCAAAGATTTAAATCCCCTTCTAAACTGTATTTTCTCCGTCTGCCTCTGTCTCTCTTCTCTCTCTCTCAGGCTGGCTTGAGGTTACATAAACACTTTGAGGATTCATGAAACACAATCTTGGAAGGGCTTAAACACTCCGTTAAAGAGGCCTAGGGCTTACGCTTGAATGGGGAGCAGGGGTTGGGAGGGGAGGGGGGGACGACACACAAACAGAGCAGTGAAAATAAGAACTCCACCACTTGGATTGGAGCCACTTCCTGGAGAAGGCGCTCTCCACCCATAAAGAAAACTAAAAGGCGTCGGGAATGTCCCACAAAAATGAAGGAGCGCTGACTGTTCTGTTAGGCTATCCCACCCTTACAAATCCCATCTGGCAGATCCTCTTGGATCTGGAAATGGGAAAATGAGCCAAATGACTATTATGCGTGTTCTAGATTCTAAGACTCCTTCCGGCTCTGACATTGTGTTCTCTCTTCTGATATTATTTGTACTAAGGCCCCTTCCAGTTTCAACATTCTATGAACTATGACAATTAAAAAAAAAACCCACAAAAACACATTTTAGTTCATTGTCCAAAAAAAAAAAAAAAAGAGGAGTGAAACACAACCTAAGGTATTGGGTTTCAAGCTGTACTATTCTTGGAATCGCTGCCCTTTCCATCAGAGATAAAATAAGGAGGTTTACAAGGCCTGGAGCTCAACTCCTGTTACGGGCCCATGTCTCTGCGCCTGGGGCTTGTCTGTATTTGTTACAGGACAAACTGCCCTGGTCACGTTTAGCCTGTGATAAACGCCTTGGCTGGACAAAGCTCATCCTGCTGTATTGATTTCAAACACCGCCTCATCACATGGATCCTGTACAGATTTTGCGTGTGCATGGTCGTTTGCACGTCGTCTCCCTATTAGGAAGTCAACTCCTTCACTGGGAGTGGGAGCCGTGTCATTGACTTTCTCTGAGTCTCCAAGCCCTTAGCAAGAACGAACTGACTGACTGACTACCCTGTCAGAGTCCCAGAATTGCAGGGTCAGAAGGGAGCTCAAGGGTCTTCCTTACCGTATAGTCAAGAAAATGAGAGGCCCAGAGAAGGGAAATGACTTTCTCAAGATCACATAGTGTTGAGACACAGACTTGAACCCCGGGTCTTCCAAACCTAGTCTAATGCTCTGACCACTCTACTGAAATCCAGTAAAGGACTCATGACTGGCCTTCTCCTGAGTCATGGTAGAAGAAAACTTTTTGTACACAGTGTGTCTGTGTGTATGGAAAGTCATTTGAGTCACTTTCCTGCAACTGTCCGACTAGACAGAAAAAAAGGCCCGGTCAGAGGTCTTTCGGGGGAAAAGCTCAATGTGGGTTCACTATGTCTCCCAGCCACGGGCCCTCACAGCTTCCATGGCACAGGGCATGTAGCCAAGGCCAGTGAACACAGACAGGCTGGGTAAATGCACGGGACAGTCCTTCTCTTCTGCTGTCTCATCTATCCCCTCGTGACATGTACAGACGTGCCAAAACCATCATCAGGGCAGAGGCTGCGCCTCAGCCTCTATCACTGGGGAGGATGGAAAAACAGGAATAGGAAGAGGTCTTGAGATCTCGCTCTAAAAGGAAGCTGACAATAATCAATCAATCAATAAACCTCTATTAAGTACCAACTAGGTGCCGGGCACTGTGGTGAGAACAGAGATTAAAAAGACAAAAAAGACCTCAGTCTTTGCCCTCAAGGAGCTTACACTCCTATCAGTCAATCAACCAACAAGCATTTATTACTATGCTGTGGGGCACTGTACTAGTCTCTGGAGGTAAAAAGACAAAAATTGAAACCATATTCACCCTGAAAGAGCTTACTTTCTATTGGAGGAGAACAACACACATACCATATACATGAAAATAAAATATACACCAAGCCAATAAAAGATAATTTCTGACTGGGAAGGTTTTAGAAGCAAAGTCTCTGACATCTTTTGAGAAAAATCAGAATCCTTGAATATCAGAGCCAGGAAAATTACAGTTGAGAGGAACCTCAGAGTTTAAGCATGTACAGGTGTGCCAGGTAGAGATGGCTCTTTAGCAAGTGGTCATCTAGCCTTGGCCCGAGTTCCAGTGAACTTAACGTCTCTGCAGAGGCGGCCCATTAAATCCACAGGGCATCACTGTTAGCAATTCTCTCCTCATATCAAACCTAACCTGCCTCTTTGCGACTTGAGGGTCTCATGGAGTTTCAGGTGGAAGAGACCTATGCTGCTCCAGTAACGTCCTTTTTACTATCTGGATAACTGCATTTCAATGTGATCGGTTTCATCTGTAATCCTGGGTATTTTACTGCATACGTTTAAAAACATGATTCTGAGAAGGGGTCCGTTAGTAGACTGATTGCCAAGGGGCCCGGGACACCCAAAGGCTCAGGAGTTCCCACCTTAGACTGTGAAATGTTACAACAGAGGACAAAGAATTTTAAAATTAGAAGGAGATCTTAGAACATAGAACCTTGAGACCCAGAAGAAACCATATAACATGGGCCCATGTTCGCTCAGGAATTTTTGAGCTTTGCGTCACAGGCCCCTCTTTGGCAGGCTGCTGAAACCTAGGTAGCTCTTCTCAGAACCAGACTTATTCCCAACATTTGTAACTGAAGGAAACACCCAAGTTCTGTTCGAGATGGCTGAAGATGAAGGTCAAACTCTTCATTTTACAGATGAAACTAAGGCCCAGAAAAATTAGGGGACTCACCCAAAGGAAACGTAAGTCTGAGGGTGTCCACCTCTTTAGGGAACTAGAGGGACCCTAAGAGCTTCCAAAGAGGATGCCCGGGTTGCAGGAGAATTAGTGGCCCAGGGCTCTGAGCAGATGAGGAATCCCTCGTGGGCTGTGTTTCTTACGGCTGTCTGAGGTGTGAGGCATGAGGTGACTCAACTTAGGAAAGTTCTCTGCAGTGAGAATGATGGGCTAAATTGAATGAGATGGACTTTCACTGAGATTGATGTACAGCCCTCTACACGTAGATTAAAAAAAAAAAACAAAAACAACTGCCCAAACCTCACATGGGGGGGGAGCTGTACCTAGGGCGCAGTTTGTGTGAAGGAGAATTGGGGGAGCCTGGGGGATGGCAGGCTCAAGCAATGAACACGGCGGTCAAAGAACTTAATTCGCTTTCTGGCTCAAATCAAGGGAGGTGATGGGCCTACCTCTTACTTTACCAGGTCAGTCCCCATCTGGAACACCCAGTGTGCTGGGTCCTGGATGCCACTGTTTAGGAAGGACATGACTAATTCTGAGTTTTTCTGGATGGTGTATCATTCAGCTGAGTCCACGGTCTGGCCCATAATTGGCACTTTATAAATGTATGTGGAATGGAAGTGAGTTTGATGTGAATTAACAGGAAGCCTTTCTAAACAGAGCATCTCAACTTGTCAACAGACCAGTGTTTGGCCCCAACTCCCCACCACCCCAACTACAATATTCTATTGTCTTTATAATGACTTAAAAAGACATTTTCTTGAGGACCAGAACCTCCCACAAATAGGTTTCTGGATGTCTGTCTGGAAAACGTCCATTGCCTGGGAATCCGGCTGCCCATCTGGCCCCTGGATGGTAAAGGAACTCAAACACCCTGCTTGCCAGCTTCCTCTATTCAGCTGAAGGGGAGTGACCCAATTACTATCATTACTTTTTGACCTCAATAAAGGGTCTTCCTTCAGAAGTTGCTGAGTGCTGGGATTTGGCCAAAAGGCTTGGACTCCCTATTTTCTGAGGTTTGGGAAGCATCGGGGAGGCAGCATGGCCTGGTACAGTCCAGGCTGGGCAAGCGACTAAAGATGGGATTCATATCTCTGCCAATCAGTTTCCTCAAATGGAAAGGGAGACTAGACTGGCCCCTCCTACCCCTGACATTCCCTGTCCCAAGGCCCCTCCCAGCTGACCTCCCCTGTTCTAAGGCCCCTCCCAGCTCTGACCTCCCCTGTTCTAAGCTCCCTCCCAGCTCTGAGAGTCCATGCGTCCAAGGAATTCTTTTTTCAGTAGTATTCCTTGCTGTCTCTTTTCCCTGGGTAGAGATCATGGATTCCAAAGCCCTTCCCAGTATCTTGGAGAGGAACCTTAGCACACAAAAGAGTAAGTTCTGGAGCTGGAGAATCGTGAGCACTGGTCAAGGAAAGACATTGTGTGTTTATGAATTTCATGGGCAGCTGCTTCCTATGCAATGGAGGGTTAGCCCATGGCAGTGAGGTTCTCCCCCTCCCCCTATTCTCTCCTGGAGGGTCCAGACAATTTACCATCTGTTAAAGGGGTCAGCGAGGCATTGACCTAGCTTTATGTTACCAGACAGGAAACAGAGCAAGGTCCATCCCTTCAACCCTACGGTTGATCTGGGAGCGGGGTAAAATTCCCGGCAAAGTGTGAGTGTATGTGCACCTGAGTGAATTCTGCTCTGGCTTTCTCTTGTCTCTGCCAGGGAGAGAAAGACAAAGAGAAAGGGACAGTGGGAGGGAGAGAGGGGGAGAGACAGACAGAGACAGAGAGAGAGGAAGAAAGAGAGAAAGATGGAAGGAGAAAGAGGGGAGAAAGGGGGAGAGAGACAGACACAGAGAAAGGTAGACAGAGAGAGAGAGAAATGAATAATAGGCAGATGGGGAAATCAGACTCCACCCACTTCGACATGTAGCCATTGTCTAGACAGACCTGCAGAACAGGACCCAAGCTACCTCCAAGGGGAAAGAGGATACCATTGTTCTACCTTGCTCCCCAAGGCTCCTGGGCCTCTGAAGCAATTCCTTGTCCCACCTGCCTCAAGGCCAGGGAGGCTTCGGAGAGTTCCCAGGACTGCCCCGATCCCCCAGCAGAAGTTACGTTTCCAGGCCACCGAAGGAGGCTGCCTTCCCAAGCAATGGCAGGTCAAGTCTTGTTCCTTCAACCCTGATGCTATCAAACTCCTGAGAGGACTGAACTCCAAGGTCTTTCCCTCCCCGCAGTGTGGCAATGTGGACAGGACACTTGCCTCGGAGTTAGGAAGACTTGAGTTCAAATGCTGCCTCAGATACTGATCAACCAGGAGCTCCCTTACAGCTCTAAATCTGTGCTCTTGAGTCTTGGCTCTGTTAGAGTCTGTAAATTCCATCCCCTCTCCAGGCCTCCATGCCTCCATTTCTCCACTCCTCCATCCACAAAACGAAGGGGGCCGGCATACATCAATTCTTACAGCTCTAACACTCTCTGTTCTCAAGTGCTTTCCAGCCATGACGTTCTAGATCCTCAGGGCCTTTCTAGGGAGTTCTACGTCCCTCCTGTCTCTGACCTTCTCTGTTCTAGGGTCTCTTCTGATAATCTCTCCTTTTATAGACAAACTGAGGCTCAGAGGAGCTGTAACTTACCCAAGGGCGCAAACCTGTCCATGGCAGAGCCAAGCTCAAGCCCTTGGGCCTCCCACCCGCTGGGAGCCCAGTGCCCTCCCCACTCGCTGGTGGTGCCACTGCACTCTCCCCAGTCCACGGTCAGGATTATTTTTTCCTTCTTACCAAGTCAAGTGCAGAGAGCTGGGATGACCCTGGGTCAGGCTCCCATCCTGTGGAGCCAGCCAGAGCTGCACAGGATGGAAGGCCGGGCCCTCACTTCCTCTCTTGAAAATAAACCTCGGACCAACTGGACGATCTGGCCGAGCCCTTGTTTTACTCCAGGGGAGCAACAGCCCCATGATAACACCGGCACACATTTACGTAGAGCAAATGCGTGATCTAATTTGATCCTCACAAGCGCCTGCGAGGCGGGGGCGTGAGGACCGACTACATCCCCACTGGGAGGACGAGGAAGCCGAGACTCAGGGAAAGGAGGTGACCGTGCAGGAATCGAGGCAGGCAACTCTCCTCTTCCACCTGTGTGACAAGTGACTCCTTCCCCTGCAAATGGCAGAGCTGGATCAGCTGACCGTCAAGGCCCTCCCGGCTCTCGATGCGAGGTCCTAGCTATAACAGTCATTAGCCAGGCGACCGCCCCTCTGCACCGAGGGCCTCAGCTTCCCCATCTGTCCAACAGGGATAATTAACACTTCCACTCCCCACTGTGCACGGGCGTTGGGAGGAAAGCGTTTTGTGAATCATCACGACCTGGGAGTCAGCATTACTCCTGGAATCATCGTCCTCAGCCGACATTATACTCAAGGTCCCAGAGCTAGGAGGTAAAAAGCCAAGCGGAGAAGGAGCCCAGGTTTTCAGCACTCTCTCTCTTACCCCCTAGTGCCTGGGATGCTGACAAGGAAGGTTTGCGTTCTGCTGTTGTTCAAGTAGGGGCGTGGGAGAACGTGATTAAAGGAATCCAGAGCAAAGGAGGTCAGCCTCCCACTAGCAAGGGACAACATGGGGCTAAGCTTGTGCCAGGAGCAGCCAGCAATGGCTGTCACCTGAAAGGTACCGAGCCAGGGACCTGGGGCATTTCTGGGAGGGAAATGACATGAGATCCAGGCTGATCAGGGAGAGCTGTTTTTGGTAACTGACTTCTGGGGCTGTTTCCTTTGAGTCTGGATCAAAACAGGTCTAAGCTAAGATATTGGAGGGGAGGTTTCATCCCTGCAACCCAGTGTGCCCTGAAGTCTGCCAGCTTCTCAAGTCAGAAAGACCTTGGTTCAAATTCCACCTGTGACACAGCTGTGAGCAATATCTGGGCCTCAGCTCCCTCAAATGTATTATGGGTTTGGGCCGGAGAGGTAGTGAGTTGATGCCGAAGGGCTGTCCGTGGGCATGCCCTCCTGGAACTTATATTACTCCTGGGCCCAATGCAAGAAGTAGGATGGTAAAGGTGAAAGGAGAGAAAGTACACGCATGGTGTCAGATAATTGGTGGACCCTCAATGACTGGTTGGGATAGGATGGGAAAGTTGGTCTAGTGAGATCATGGATATAACATGGTTGTTACCATTATCTGTATCGGTAAAGAAAGTTCCTCACGTTGGAGTTCCCTAGATCAATGAAATTCTAGGTCCTCAAGAAGATGTCAATCCACATGGATGAAGGGAGTTTCTTCACTTGTGAATTCCCTAAATCAATGAAACTGTAGGTCCAGTCAATATTCCTATTATTCTAAAAGCAGTATTCTTTCATTCATTCATTCGACGAACAAGTATTAGTTAAGTGTTTACTGTATAATAAGAGCTTCTACTTACTATACAGAAGGCCACCAGGGATCCCTGTGCAAATCCCGCCAAGACATCTGAGGGGTGATGCTTGTGGTCTGACACCCGAGACAAGCCAGTGTAGAAGGCCATCATGATCAACGTGAACTGTAGGAGGGGCCGGAGCAGGCGGGCTCCTTTCCAGGTGAAGCGGGCCTGCAGATACAGCTGGAGGAAAGGAGAGAAGACGGTAGCATGAGTAGCAGCCTCCGGAAGTCAGACATCAGGACAAAAGGAGGGCTGACCCAAAATGGAATGGGCAGCCCGGTAGAGGGTGGGTCGTCCACCTTCGGATTTCTTTAAGCAGAAACTAGACAGCCACTAGTTGGGAATGTCGAAGTGGAGATTTGTGAGGGAGGGACCAGCTGAGGACTCTTCCAACTTTCTACTTCTGGGCTTCACCTTTGATACATCAACTTGGGCAACCATTTCACTTCCTGGATCTCACCTGTAAAACGAGGGATTGACTTAGAAGGGCTTTGAACTCCTTTCCAGTGCTAGATCTGGTTCCTATGAGGGATTAGTATGAAGAGAAATAGAACGAGGTACTTATAGAAAGAGATGGCTACAGTGCATTAGAGAGAACACCACTTGGAGTCTGGGGACCTGCGTTCAACTCCTGACTCTGACGGGTCTGAGCAAAACTTTTGGGAGAACCAGAGAGGGCAGCCATGGCCTAGGTGTCCATCTTCATCATGGCAGGGGGAGCTCCTGAACTGATGAGATCACAGACCCATTTAAGCATAACCCGTGCAAGCTGCCTTACCTCTTGGCCTCAACTTCACTTATGGTACAACCATGCTTACCCTACCCACCGTATGAGATTATTTGGAGGAAGGTATTTTAGATACCATAAAGTGCTAGAGTTTTATAAATCGTTGTTCAGTCATTTCAGTTGTGTCTGACTCTTTGTGACCCTATTTGGGATATTTTTTGGACAAAGATACTGGAGTGGTTTGTTGTTTCCTTCTCTAGCTCATTTTGTAGGTTAGGAAACTGAGGCAAATAGAGTGAAGTGACTTGCCCAGGGTCACACAGCTAATAAGTGTCTGAGGCCAGATTTGAACTCAGGTCCTCCTGACTCCAGGCCCTGTGCTCTAACCACTCTGTCACCTAGCTGCCCCATTTTGTAAGTTATATTTTGATAATGATAAAATATTTCTTGATTTGAAAAAAAAATCTGTGCTCTAATTCATCACTAAAGTTACAACGACAGAGGGCAGGCCATGTGGGTCAGAGGAACTGGGTTTGAAAAATCTCAAATAAAAAGGCTGGAAGAAATGATATAATTAGAAATTAAAGAAATAGGCCAACTCTGGGATATGAAAATGCTTTCCAGGACAGGGCCAAATCCTGAAGAGAGAAAGAGAGAGAGAGAGAGAGAGAGTATATAGTGTGTGTGTGTGTGTGTGTGTGTGTGCTGGGGAGGGGTGGGGGTCACCTGAAGAAAGAAAGTGGGAGAGAACTTTGTCTGAAGCAAGAAAGAAAAGCAGAAGTGACGTCATCTGGGTATTGTCCACTGGAAGCTATCTGGACGGAGTTTCCGTTCTAACCTCGGGCCACAACCCACTTCCCAGGTTCCTGTGGGAACCTGGGAAGCAAAAGGGAAGAGACAACCGGACAAGTGACAACTTCCTCCCGCAAATCAAAGTGGAGAAGGCCGGACAGGATGGGAGAGGAAAGAAGGGGCGAGGGCTGCAGAGGCTAAAGATAGAGCAGGACGGTGCCCTTCCCCAGACAAATGGCCACCTTCCTGTGGCAGGCAGGAGGAGGAGGAAGCTGGCAGAGCAGCCTGGGGAGGGGAGGAAGGGGGCAGGGTCATGAGGTCCTGGTGCTACAGAGGGTGGGCAGGCAGTGTGAGCAGAGGACTGGCCTCTGGGGAGGGAGGCAGGGCTGGAAAAGCTCTCTGAATGGAGAACAGAGAATGTCAGGGCTGGAAAGGACCCCAGAGAACATGTAAAATAAGACCTCAAAGAGCCCTCTGAATATAGAACACAGAACATTGCCTTAGAATATAGAACATAAAATGTTTGCACTTGAAGGGGTCTTAGAACAGCCTGCTAGTTCATAGGACACAGAAGGTTAGAGATGAGAGTCTAGAACCTGGACCCTCGGTACTTAGAACATAATAATTGGGCTGGAAAGAACCTTAGAAATCTTCTAGTCCAAACCACTCCTTCAACAGGAAAAAAAAAATGAAGTTTGGAGTAAGAGAAGTGACCTGTACAAGGTGACATAGCAAAGCCAGGCCAATGGTCCCCCACCCATCACCGCTGCCACACCAATAAAATTTGTTTCTGCTCCAACAGAGAAACCAACAAAATGAAGAAGATAAAAACGGAAACTACACTGGAAAGAAGGCAGGGAAACAAAGGAGATGAGGTGGAATAAGTAATTTTGATATAAAAGGGAAAACTCCCATTGAAATGTCTCTAAACACACTAAATATTTAAAGAAAACATTTAAATATATTCATTAAATGTATTACATCAAAAACAAAATATTTAAATAAATAATTGCTGGAGGGGGGTGTCAAGTCACCACGTGATTTGTTCAGGTGAGAGAGCCTGGCATGTAACAGGCCCTTATAAAATGTGTACTGGCTGGTCAGATTGTGACAAGTCTGGACCTGGAATCAGAGGTTCTGGGTTCAAAACCCCATTGTGCTGTGTGACCTTGGTCACTTCCCCTCTTTGGGCCTTGGTTTCCTCACATATAAAATGGGGACCCTGAACCAGATGCTCTCTAGGTTCTCTCTCCACTTTAAATCTTCAAGCCTGCCTGCAGGGCTTGCCCCAAGATGTGCTTTCTCACAGATTACTGGCCCCAAAGCCAAGCAATCATACTCGCAGGGTATAAAGGGGAAAGGGACACCTCAGTGGACCAAAGGAAGAATAAGCCTTCTCGGGAGTCCCATCAGCTGCAATCTGGGCCGCTCCCAGGGGCCCTTCCTGGCTCCATCCGGTCTCAGGTAAGTGGCAACAGGCACTATCAGAGATCTGGGCCAAATGCTTAGTGAGGAGGGACGAGCTGCTCCCTGACCAGGTCGCCAGGATAACAGATGTCAAGAAGTCCCATCTACCCTTGGAAAGGTGGGGAGGGGGATGGGAATAAGGAGAAGCCAGACCAGTGAGTCCTGAACTTGGAGAACAATTTAAAGAACTGGGAAGAGGCAACATGGGGACACGGAAAAAGAGCCTGAAGCTGGGTTTGAGCCCAGGCTCTGCTCTATGTTGCCCAGGTGACCCTGGGAAAGTCACTTTACTCCTAAGACCCAAGGTCCCTTTTACTCTAAATCATAAGATCTTGAATGGATTCCCTCCGAAGTGAAGACTTAGGGGAGTTACACGGTAACAGGCGGGTGGTTTGGGGCAAAAGGCTTAGACGCATTTTGCTTGGCCCGAGAACAGAACTAAGAGGAACAGGTAGACAGTATAACAAGGCAGCTGTGAGCAGTGGGCAGGTTTTAGGATTCACCAATGCTTTACAGATGCTAACTCAACCCTGTGGGGCAGGCCCTATCACTATCCTTATTTTACAAAAGAGGAAACTGAGGCTGTGAAAGGTTAAGAGGCTTTCCTGGGGTCACACAGCTAGCAAGCTTGTGAGGCAGATGTTTGGATCAGGGGAAGCAACAATAAGACCCTGGGGATGAAAGTTGTCCCTAAGTGAAATGAGCTACTACAGGAGACTGTAAGCCTCCTTTCAATAGAGGCATCCCATCAGTCTGGATGATCGCTCTTTAAGAATACTTGATGGGGGGCAGCTAGGTGGCGAAGTGGACAGAGCACTGGCCTTGAAGTCAGGAGGACCTGAGTTCAAATCCGGGCTCAGACCAAACACCTGACACGTACCAGCTGTGTGACCTTGGGCAAGTCACTTAACCCCGATTGCCTCAGTTAAAAAAAAAAAAGAAAAAGAAAAAAAAGAATACTTGATGGGCATTGCGGCTCAGGTGGGCTGGCCTACATGAGCTTTGGGAACTCTTAGAGCTCATGGGTTCTGGTCAGAATTCCCATTTGGAGGCACTGGACCCATCTCTTCACCCCCTGACCTACTCGGCTCCCAAACCACTCCTGGGAAACCTTTATCCCATACTCCCTTCCCTTCCCTTGGGGTCAGACTTCCCTTCTGAGCAATCACTGAGTCTTATCTGGCTTCCCTGATTCAGCTATTAGCAGCTCTTAGAAGGGCACTTTCTTTCTGACCCCCATCCCCTACAACAAAGAAGGCTCTCTCAATCTCTCTCTCTCTCTCTCTCCCTTTC